GACAGAGCCCCAGCTGCAGCCTCGTGGAGAAGACACGAAGGCTGGGCAGCATCTGGCCTGCGGGGCTGCAGGGAGGACCTGGCCCCTCCCCATCCCCCCGGGGTCTGCCAGGCGAAACAGACTGACCCAGTAGCTCTGCAGGTCCCCTTCGTCAGGACCTCGACCGTGCCCGAAACCGGAACGGAAGCGACAGGCCGGGGAGAGACGCGGCCCTGGCCACCTGGGCCAGGGACAGCTGGGCTGCGGGCGGGGTCAGGGTCGGGGTCAGGCCAGGGCCCCGCGTTTCTGGTAGCCCAGCGGCCGCCTTCTCTACTGGTGGGATTGGGGGATCGGGAGGGTTGAGGAGTGGGTGGGACATCTCGGTGGGTGGGGGGCGGCCCTGTGCCTGTGCCCAGGAGAGGGGACGCCTGAGGGAGCTGCGGCTGCTTCTGTCACATCACGTGTCTGCGGAGTGTGGTGAGCGGCCACCGTGCAGGGCCAGGTGGGGCCCCCCAGATCCCCCGCCTGCAGGGCCCCGGCCTGCCGGGGGCCTGTGCGTGGCAGGACCCCGGGCTGGCAGGCACTTCATGCTCACTTGCGTTGGCGTCCGCTCAGTGGCCCGTCACCGACGGCTATCTGAGGCCCACTTCCTGTCCCAAGTCAGAGCAGCCTGAGTGAGTCAGTGGCCAGTGACAGCGTGACAGCAAGAGCGACACCCCGAGGTGCAGCCAAAGCCTCCGCCCCGCTCGCCGCGTCCATCCGCTGTCCTCCCGTCTCCGTGGCAACGCCTGTGCGGTCCCGCTGGGCCGGACCCCAGCCCTCCTGCCGGATTCCCGCAAGCCCACGAGCTTGTCAGATCCGGGGGGCTGGCAGCCTTTTGGGTCACTGCCCTGGGCCAGGCACGTCCCCAAGTGTGTCCCTGCTCCCTGTGCACAGACAGCCCCTATCGCGAGTCCCCTGCCCGTGCCACCCTCTTCCTGTAAGGGTTTTCGGGGCCTCCTTTCCACATGAGGAAAGTGACGCTCGCGGAGGCAGCAGCACGTCCCAGCCTCACCCCAGCCTCACCCCAGCCTTACCCCTTGCCCCGCACCACCTCTCCCGGGTGTGAAGCCCCGGGGCGGACAGAGTCACAGTCACTGCTGGGCTGCTTTAGGGGACCCCCTTGCCTCCCGACCTCTCCACTGTCCCTACTGGGCTTGGGGAGGTCATGGGGAAGGACCCTGATCTTTGAGGCTGGGTTACTGGCCCCACGCCTGCCATGACCTCTGACCCCTCCCCATGGGCCCCAGAGCTGGACGCTCCGGCCTGGGTTTCCTGGGGCGCCCGGCCTTAGTTAGATTTTCAGGGGACAGGAAGGCAGCTTGGTGGGACCCCAGGAGGAAGCCCTGGACAGCCGGTGGCACGGATGCCAACATGGGCAGGTGCCGCCACCCTGGGCCCCAGCAGTGGCCTGGGCAGCTTCTTCTGGGGTGTGTGCCTGGGAAGTGTGCCGGGGCCTGGGAGTGCCCAGGCTGCAAGCTCTGGGCAGCCGATGGAGCCCGCTGCCTGGCTGGGTCCGGCCAGCCTTGGACGTGCAGGGCGTGACCCAGGCCGGTGACAGACGGGTTGGGGGTTGTGGTGTGGACTCAGGCCTCCGGGGAGTGTGGTTGACCTGATGCCTCCCTGCCTTTCTGGGGTCATGAGGGTTACAGGCCTGTCACTCACACTCCCCTTGGCCTGGGTCCTGGTCCCCAGCTGCAGACCCTCGAGCTTCCCTCCAGGCCTCCGGTTCCTAACACCCGCTGGTCTAACGGCAAGCCAGACCCGTCCACCCTGCCTGCCCCTGGGGACGCGCCTCTGCCCTGCTTAGCACCAGGTGACCTCGTGCCCAGCTCTGAGGCCTGACAGGGAGCCCCAGCTACCCCAGTGGGTCAGAACGGCTGAAGCGCCAGGCTTCTGGGCACCCACTCACTCACCACATCTGGCACCCTCCCCTTCTCCCCCATGACCACTCACTCACACACTCATCCGCTCACTCATTTACTCAGGCCTCACTCATTCATTCAATCACCCATGCATTCATTCATTCACTCTGCACTCGACCATTCATTCATCTACTCATTCGCCCACTCACTCATTTACTCATTCATTCGCACACTCCTCAGCCATCCATTCATTCATTCACTCATTCACCCACTCATTTACTCACTCATTCAATCAATTACCCATTCGGTCATTTACTCGCTCATTCATTTGGCATTTCGTTCATTAATCCACTCACTCGTCCACTCACTCGTTCATTCACCCACTCATCCATCCATTCATTCATTCACTCATTTATTAATCCACTGATCTATTCACTTATTCGTTCATTCATCATTCTATACTCCCCCACATCCCTGTGATCTGTGAGACACACTCTCTCCTAGGTACCAGGGCCAACTTAGGACATGGGGAGGGGATCTTAGGCCCCTCCCCAGCAGGATGGGGGCCCAGCCCAGCCACTCCCACCCCCATTGCTGACACGCCTCCCCAGGTGGGGTCTCCTGGTCAGGCCCAGGAGGAGCTGCCAGCCTCGCGGGGGTGTGTGGCCACCTGGGAGGCAGAGGCTGAGTCTAGCCCCAGTGCGGGCACCCGGGGCCTAACGCTCGCCCCATGGCCTGGGGCCAGGTGTCCATCGTGCTTTGGTGGCTTCTCTGACGAAGCCCATCGGGGTAAATACCTGTGGGGATGGTTTCTGGGCTGGGGCCAGTTGGCATCTCCCCAACTAGTGGGCACAGACACTCCTGCCCCTCATGACCACAGGCCCACATGCGAGTCCATCTGGCTCGAGGCTCCCCACTGCCCGGGTGGGGCCAGGTGCCAAAGCACAGCCAGCACTCCGGGCAGCACCGGGCTGGGGGCTGCCTGGTGGGGAAGCATCTTGTCACGGGGGGTTCCACCCCCCAAGCCCCTCTCCAATGAGGGATAGGTTGGCCCTGGGAGCCCCGTTGGCAGTGAGGACACCGGTGACCTTTCTAGGCACCAGGAACTCAGGGGTCTGGCTGCACAGAAGTGCTCAGAGCAAGTTTGGGGTGGCGGTCCAGGAGGAGAATGCCTGAGGCCAGGACTTGGGGAGCCCTCAGGAAACTAGGCCCCACCTGGCACACACGCCCACTTCTGCTTGTCTCCAGCTGCAGCCAGACCAAAGCAAGTGCCCACTGTTTACCTGGGCGAGCAGAACCACAGCTCTGCTCCGCCCACTCACGTGAAGCCACTGGGGCTGGAGCCAGCTCTGGGGCTACAAAAGGCTCCTGCAGACTCAGGTCCCTCCTCAGAGGCTGCCCCTGGGGACGTCTCCCCCTCCACGCGATGGGTGTCGGCTGGAGGCAGCTGGCCGTGCTTTGGGCCTTGGCTCTCGCCCTGGCCTGCGCCCAGCACACAGGTGAGCTTCCCGCTGGCTGGCGTGCCCTGGCCACGGCCCGGTGCCCCTGCTCCCCCAAGTCCTGAGGTGGCCCTGGTCCAGGGCGGCCTTGTCCTGGGCTCCGGACAAGCCTCGTGAGCTGCTCCGGCAGCTTGACCTTGCCCCCGGCTCTAGCCGTCCTGCAGGTTCCAGCTCTTGGGGTTGGGGAAGGGTTCCCAGGGCTGAGGGGTCCCAGTGGGGGCATGGCCTCTGAGGACCCCAGAAATCAGAATCACTGCATATGACGAGGTCTCGCAGTGGCCTCGGGGCCGACACCGCTGTCCCTCAGACCCCACCCCGGCCTCTGCTGCGCTGAGTCCCACTCGCTCGGTGGCCCTGAGCACCCCCTTTGGAGTGCAGCCGCGTCCTCACTCTTGGCCACCAGATGCCCTAACCTGCTCCACATTTTCCTGCAGAGGCCTAGTGGCCTCCTGGCAAGCTGTCAGGCCCTCTGTGGCTTACCAGCTGACCTCTCAGCGGGCCGCTACCAGTTTTGTCCCCACATCTGAGCAAGGACACCAGTGCCCAGCCTGTGGTGGACACTCGCTGTGAAAGAATGAGTAGTGACTGAATAATTGGCCCCTGGAGATACCCAGTCAAGGCTAGGTGACACCCCCAGAATGTTTGTGGGTGAAGCTGAGGAGGTTGTAGCTCAGCCGTGGGCCTGGGACACTCTCCCCCTTTGAGGCCACGTGCCTGCCCTACACCTGCTCCGGGGGGCGCCCTCCCCTCCTCCCAGAGGCAGGGCCCAGGTGGGCTCTGAGGAGAACCTGAGCCTCCCTCCTGTCCCCCAGGGGCCCACGGTGTCTCCCCACCTGTCAGAGCTGCCCCAGTGGCCCCAGCTGGCAGACCTCTGAGTGGTGACTTGCCTTGGGTACCTCCCAGTCTGCCCCACCGAGGGGTCGGGACTTGGGGGCTAAGGGATACCCCTGCTCACACAGCCCCTGCCGGTCGCCTGGAAACTCCCCTGTAGGCTGCTAGCTATGTTCTCACCGTCCTGCAGAGAGGGGGTGACAGGCCGGAGGACCAGCTGAGGGACGTCTTCATTCCTCCCTGTCTAACTCCTGATGTGTCAGCTGTGCCCGTGTCTTCTCAGCCTGGAGGAGGGGCTGGCGGGTGCCTCCATGGGCATTTCTGTGTGGGTGCTGCGTGTGCAGAGCAGGGAGCATGGGGTGCGGTCCTTGTGGCTCCGGGAGAGGTGGGGGGACAAGGTGTGCCCCAGCCAATCCATCTGCATTTCCCCAACTGGCTCCCATGGGGCCCGCCTGCCCCATCTCATCACCCAAGGGACTGTCTTCAGACACCAATGAGACTCGGGCACTTTTGAGGTTCTGGGTACAAGGAGCCCCGCGTGCCAATGGCCTTCTGGGCCGTGCGGGTGTGACCACGGACAGCCCTGGGTGTTCCAGTCCAGCACGAGAGGACGTGAAGGGCAGAAGGAAGCCTTTGCCCACAGAGGCCTCCAGGCCACGAGTGTGTGCTGGGCAGGGAGGCCGCATGGCACAGTCCGGCTGGCCAGGGAGCCCACAGCCTCAGACGGCCACTTGGCATCTTGCTGGGCACAGACCCCCACCCCCGACGCTGTGTGTGTGGGCGGTAGGCACGGGGGCTGTGCGTCAATGCTCTCCTTCCTGCAGGTGACCCCCTCCTCGGGGTGACCATCCTCCCGCCTCTGAGGACCACCCCCGTGATGCGAGGTGAGTGTGACCTTGCGAGGCCGGGCTGGGCGCCTTAGTTAGCTGGGCCCTCCTCCCTCAGACCTGGGGGTGCAGCTTTCGGAAGACTGTGACTGAGTGTTGACAAAGAGCCCAGGACGTTTAGGTCTCACCTCCCCAGACGCCTGCCCTGGGGCAGCGGGGGTTCCAGGCGGGGCAGCGGGGGTTCCAGGGGCAGCGGGGGTTCCAGGCGGGGCAATGGCAGGTTCCAGGCGGGGCAGTGCAGGTTCTAGGTGGGGCATATGGGTTCCAGGCGGGGCGCCCTCAGCACAGTCCTTGCTACCCTGCAGCCCTGAATGCGGCGCACAACGGGCGCGTGTGCAGCACCTGGGGCGACTCCCACTACAAGACCTTCGACGGCGACATCTTCCGCTTCCCCGGCCGCTGCAACTACGTCTTCTCCGCGCATTGTGGCTCCGCCTATGAGGACTTCAACGTCCAGCTGCGCCGCAGCCCCGAGGCCAACGCCACCACTCTGAGCAGGGTCACCATGAGGCTCGACGGCACAGTCATTGAACTGACCAAGAGCTCCGTCCTGGTCAATGGCCGCCCGTGAGCCTGGGCCCCTGGGTGGCCGTGGGAGGGACATGGAGTCACCTCCGTGAGTGTAGCCGGGTGGGGTCTTCCCTGGGCCCTGCGCTTGGCCAAGAACCCTGCCCTTCTTGGGTTCTTGTGCTGCCTCTGGAAGTGTCCCCTTCCTAGTGCTCCTGGGCCCCCTGTCCTTGTCACACCCACTGGCACTGTCTGTGGCATAGTGGCCTTGTCACATATACGACTGTCCCCGCCCATCGCCCCGTCCTCACGCGCCCTCGCGCCTCAGCCGCCCCTCTCCACAGAATCCAGCTGCCCTTCAGCCAGTCGGGGGTCTTCGTTGAGCGCAGCAGCAGCTACCTGAAGGTGGTGGCCAGGCTGGGCCTCGTCTTCATGTGGAACCAGGACGACAGCCTCCTGGTGAGTCTGGGGCAAGTGGGGGCTGCCACCCGTGGGCGACGGCCTCTCGAGAGGGAAGGGGTGTTCTGGGTGAGGGTGAGTGGGACAGCGGGGAGAGGATGGGCCCCTGGGCGTCCCTTCCAGGTCAGAGCGCTGCCTGAGAAGCCCCAGCCCCTCCTCGGGGCGTCGGTCTCCCACACGTCCTCTGTCCCTCCATCCTGGGTGTCCCTGGTGGGCCAGGCATCTGACATGTCATTTCGTTCCAGCTCGAGCTGGACACCAAGTACGCCAACCAGACCTGCGGGCTCTGCGGAGACTTCAACGGTATCCCTGGCATCAACGAGTTCTTCTCCCACGGTGAGCCCAGGGGCACTGCCACCGTCGGCTCCCTGCAGGGCTGTCCTCCCAGTCCCAAGTCATGTCTCCAACTGCGTGCACATGGACCCACATGCCATGTACCTGCACCCGAGCATAAAGACCTGCACACAGCCATGTACGCACGGGAGAGGTGCACCTGCACACAGCCACATGATCTAGCATGCACACGTGCACATGTGTGCACATCCATGTGATCTGGCATGCACATCTGGACACCTGCATGATGCCGGCATGCACGCCTGCACGCTCACACGATCCCAGTATGCACACCTGCACACACGATCCCAGCATGCACACCTGCACACCCGCACGATCCTGGCACACTGTATGGTTTGCAGCGACGCGTGGGGCCCTCTCAGGTCGCTCTGGGCAGTGGGCACCTCTGTACCCCACACTCTCACCTGAAATTACAGACCAGCCTCCAATCAGACACTGTCACTGCTCCTGGTCAAGTTTTTGCCACCAAGCAGTGGCCTTTTGTGCAACCCACACCCAGGCCCCGGAAGCCCCACAGTGTGGGCGGGGAGGTGGGCATAGCTGGGACATGTGAGGCGTCAGGGGGCCGGGGGCACAGGGAGCCAGTGAAGAGCCCAGCGCTGTGCTTCCTGCAGATGCCAGGCTGACCCCCATCGAGTTTGGGAACCTGCAGAAGATGGACGGCCCCACGGAGCAGTGTCAGGACCCTGTCCCTGTGGCCCCGGCCAACTGCTCCACAAGCACTGTGAGCCCCGGCAGGGAGGGGCGGCAGGGGGGGGCCTGCTCCTGCAACCTGGGTGGTGGTGGGGGCTGTGGGCCGAGGCCTTCGAGAGCCGGGAGACAGCGTGGGCTCCCCGCTCTGCCCCCAGGGTATCTGCGAGGGGATCCTGAGCGGGGAGCCGTTTGCGGGCTGTAATGCCCTGGTGGACGCCGGTAGCTACGTGGACACCTGCCAGCAAGACCTCTGCCTCTGCGAGCACGCCGACCTGACCCGCTGCCTCTGCCACACCCTGGCCGAGTACTCCCGCCAGTGTGCCCACGCCGGGGGGCTGCCCCTGGACTGGCGGGGCCCCGACCTCTGCCGTGAGCGCCTTGCCGCCCTGCCCGTCACCCTGTCGCGCCCCGGGCTCAGGGGCAGGGGCAGGCTGTGACACGGGCCCTGCTGTCCTCCTTACAGCCCAGACGTGCCCCCTCAACATGCAATACCACGAGTGTGGCTCTCCCTGCGCTGACACCTGCTCCAACCGCGAGCACTCCCAGCTCTGCGAGGACCACTGCCTGTCCGGCTGCTTCTGCCCAGAGGGTGAGACGGAGACCCCAGCCCCACCAGGCGCCCTGAGAATCACACGGATGCATTCGAGGTCCCCGGGCGGTCGGCGCTGCTACGCCGGACGCTTGGAATGAAAGCCTCTGTCCTGGCCCGCGGTGTTCCTGAGCCCCTGGGTGTGGGAGCCTCTGAGGGGCAGGGCCACCAGGGACAGAGGGCCTGTCCCCTGCACACACTCGCTCGGTGGACACAGCCTGGCACCTGCCACATGGCCTGCCCCCTCCTGCAGGGATGGTGCTTGATGACATCAGCCAGACCGGCTGCGTCCCTGTGTCCCAGTGCCCCTGCGTGTACAATGGGGCCACCTACACTCCGGGGGCCGTCTACTCCACAGACTGCACCAACTGGTAGGGCCCCAGGTCCCGCCCTCCTGTCCTCCCAGATGTGTCCTGGAACAGTTCCTCTGGGGACTGGCCCAGGTGCCGGTCGCCCCCTCCCACGTGGGGCCCGGGCACAGGCGGACGCTGACGGGCCCGGTCCGCGCAATGCAGGCAGGCCTGCCGGTGGGGCGGGCGGCGGAGCTCCCAGGCCAGCCCGCCCACAGCCTTTCCCCGCTCTTAGCACCTGCTCCGAAGGCCGGTGGAACTGCCAGGAGCTTCCGTGCCCCGGCACCTGCTCCGTGCTGGGCGGCGCCCACTTCTCCACGTTTGACGAGAGGCCATACACGGTGCATGGTGACTGTAGCTACGTGCTGGCCAAGGTGCGGCCGGGGTCTCTGCCCAGGGCCGCTGGGCCGCTTGGAGCTCCTTCCAGTCCTCCAGCACACGGCCCCAGCACCACGGGGCTCCCAGGGTGGGCGAGGGGGAGGGGGTGGGGCGGGCTGGACAGAGCTGAGGACGCTTGTCCTTGTCTGCAGCCTTGTAATGGCAGTGCCTTCACTGTGCTGGCCGAGCTGCGCAGGTGCGGGCTGACAGACAGCGAGACCTGCCTGAGGAGCCTGACGCTGAGCCTGGCTGGGGGACAGACGGTGAGTGCAGACCCTGGGGCCGGGGGAGGGGCCGCGTCCCTCACGCAAGTGACCACTGCCCGAGCCTTGACTCTGGTGTGGGCAGCGAGCAACAGGCATGGCCTGAGGCCCTTCCCACCCCATTTGCTGCGTGCATCTCTTTGCTCGGTGGAAATGGGGCCCTTCCCACCTCATTTGCTGTGGGTCCCCTGCGTGAGCGGCTTGGGGCGAGAGACGTGGCCTCCGCACCTGCCCCAGCCCACAGTCCTCGTCTCAGAGAAACCTCGGGATGCGAATGGGCCCAGGGGACCCGTCATCAGCCCGTCCTCGTGGGAGCTACCCACGGCGAGGACTTGCAGACACATCTCACAGCTGCCGGGGCTGTGGGGGGTGGACAGGAGTCAAGCCCTGGCCCCGCTGCCTGGTGAGACCACACTCTCTGCTGCTCCCAGGTCATCGTGATCAAGGCCAGCGGGGAGGTGTTCGTGAACCACATCTACACCCAGCTGCCTGTCTTGGCAGGTGAGGGCTGGGCCCCAGCCTCCCCTACCTCCCAGAGGGTCCCGCACCTTGCACCCCACGGAGACCCTCGTCCTCTGTGTCCGCAGCCAACGTCACGCTCTTCAGTCCCTCGACCTTCTTCATCATCGCCCAGACAAACCTGGGTCTGCAGGTGGACGTCCAGCTGGTGCCCACCATGCAGGTGTTCGTGAGGCTGGCGCCTGAGCTCCGAGGGCTGACCTGCGGTAAGAGACGCCACCGCCCTGTCGCCCGAGCCCGCCCTTGGAGTCTGGGCTCACGGGCCTCACGCCACCCCCACCCCCGGCCCAGGTCTCTGTGGGAACTTCAACCAGAACCAGGCCGATGACCTGCGGGCCCTCAGCGGCGTGGTAGAGGGCACGGCCGCCGCCTTCGCCAACACCTGGAAGACGCAGGCCGCCTGCCCCAACGTGAAGAACATCTTCGAGGACCCCTGCTCCCTCAGCGTGGAGAACGGTACGTATGTCCACCTGCCCGTGGCCCGGGCCGTGGAGGTGCAGGCGCGGGCTCCAGCTGTCCACTCCGGGCCTGTGGGGTGCGTCCGGGGGCAACTCGGCAACTCGCCAGCACGTGCAGTCTTTCGGGCCACAGTGAGCCGGGAGTCGGGAGGAAGGCACAGGGAGCTGGGGGAAGCCCTCTCCATGGGCGCCCACCCAGGCGGGGGTGGTGCTTAGGAGTTCGGGGTGGAGGGAAGGGGTGCACCTCCACGCAGCCCCCCGCAGATGCCACATGCGCCCGCTGACGCCGTTTGTCCTCCGTCCACAGAGAAGTACGCTCAGCACTGGTGCTCGCGGCTGACTGACCCACAAGGCCCCTTCGCCCAGTGCCATGCGGCCGTGAGCCCTGGCACCTACTTTTCGGTAAGGCCGCCCACCTGCCTCTCCCCTCTGGCCGCACAGACGCCCCCAGGGGGTCTGGGAGGGCCATGCAGCTGGGTCCAGGCCAGCCAGTGTCCTGGCTTCATCCCTCGTGTCCCTAGTCCGTCACTCACCACAGTCCCGAGTTTGTCTCCTGCCTTTGGCCCTGCCACAGGCCTGGGGTCCAGACCCAGACAGTTCGACACCCACTGATCCCTGGGTCCAGTTGAGCCACTGCGAGGCTCTGGCGTCTGAGGCCACCAGGCAGGGCTGGACCTGCTGGGCCACAGAGACGAGGCCCGGGTGTCCCTGCCCAGTGGAGAGCTTGGGCGGTGGAGCGCGCTGGGGGCGCGGCCCGGCCGGGGCGGGGCGGGGCCTGGAGAAGGGGCGGCTGCGGGAAGCGCATGTGGGCGGGGCCCCTGACGCCCCTGACGCCCGGCCGTCCCCAGAACTGCCTGTTCGACACCTGTAACTGTGAGAAGAGCGAGGACTGTCTCTGTGCGGCCCTGTCCTCCTACGCGCGCGCCTGCGCCGCCAAGGGCGTGCTGCTCAGCGGCTGGCGGGCCGGCGTCTGCGGTGAGCGCACGGGCGGGGTCTTCCGGGGCCCGGGGTGCGTGCTCCGTGGTCCCTGCTCCGAGGGGCCGGGCCTGGCGGGGATGGCAAGCCAGGGGCCTGGGGACGCTCCTTTCTGAGTGCTGCCCCTGTCCTGGCGTCCTGCAGCGAAGCCCATGGACACCTGCCCCACGTCCATGACCTACCAGTACAACATCAGCACCTGCCAGCCCACCTGCCGGGCCCGCAGCAATGAGGACGTCACCTGCGGCATCAACTTCGTGCCTGTGGACGGCTGCGCCTGCCCCCACGGCACCTTCCTGGATGATGAGGGCAAGTGTGTGCCGGCCACTAGCTGTCCCTGCTACTATGGGGACTCCACAGTCCCCAGCGGGGAGTCGCTGCATGAGCACGGGGCTGTCTGGTGAGTCCCCGCCGGGCGGCTGGGCGGCGGCCGGGGCGGGAGGGCAGCCGGCGGGCCCTCTGACCGCCCTCTCCTCGCAGCACCTGCACACAGGGCACACTGACCTGCATCGGAGGCCACGCCCCCGCCCCAGGTGAGCTGGGCAGGAGGCGGGGAGGCAGGGCCCTGGGTTTCCCCCCGTAACTTTGGGATGAAATGCTCCCAGTCCCCGTGGCTGCTGGGTGTTGATCGGCGTCTGTCAGGCCATCTCTGCTCTCTGGGCTCAGCAGGGGCGGTGGGGCCGGCCGTACCGTGTGTGCATGGGACACGCACACCCACGCAGACCTGTGCGCACACGCGCACATCCCGCACACGTGCACACACTCACCATGCCTCAGGGCGAGCATGGGCTCGGCCGGAGACTCATGCGTTGAGTGTGCAGCGGCCGTGTCCCTCAGAGCAGGCTGGGCAGGTGGTGGCTGAAGTCCCCTGAGTGGTCACTCTCTCCCCAGTCTGTGTCCCCCCCATGGCCTACTTTGACTGCCGCAATGCCACGCCTGGGACTGTGGGGGCCGGCTGCCAGAAGAGCTGCCAGACCCTGGACATGGACTGTGTGAGTGTCCCATGACCCTGGTGGTCCCCAAGGACCTCAGGGACTGCCAATGCTCCTGGGGACCCCAAGGACCCCACACCTGCTTGGCCCTCATGGGCACCTGTGGAGACGTCCGTCCAGGCTGGCCCTAGGAGGACCCCTGCCCGAGTGTCTGCTGCGCCCGCTGCCCGGTGGCCCCACACAGCCCATGCGGCCCTGCTGTCATCTCAGGGCGCCCTCCGCCCCCCTGCAGCGAGCTCTCTGTCCCGGCTCATCCACTGAGTTTTGTCTGCCCTGCCCACAGTACGGCCCTCAGTGTGTGCCCGGCTGCGTGTGTCCTGACGGGCTAGTGGCCGACGGCGAAGGTGGCTGCATCGCTGTGGCTGACTGCCCCTGTGTGCACAATGAGGCCAGCTATCAGGCCGGCCAGACCATCCGGGCGGGCTGCAACACTTGGTACGGGGGACTTGGGGTGCCATCCTCGGGGGGAGGCGCAGCCCAGTCAGGTGTCCGGAAGGCCCCGCGGAGGCTGTGGGAGGGATGCCCTGCCCGCGCCAGCTCCGGCCTGACCAGTGGCACCCCTCCCAGCACCTGTAAAGGCAGGATGTGGCAGTGCACAGACGAGCCCTGCCTGGCCACCTGCACCGTGTATGGGGACAGCCACTATCTCACCTTCGACGGACAGCGCTACAGCTTCAACGGGGCCTGCGAGTACACGCTGCTCCAGGTGGGGCCCGAGCTCCCGGCTTCCCAACACTCCTGTGTCGCGACCCCCATCCACCGCCTGCCGTCAGCCCCGGCCCCGTCAGCCCCGTCCCTGCCGTGAGCCCTGTCCCCGTCAGCCCCGTCCCCGCTGTCAGCCCCGTCCCTGCCCTCAGCACTGTCCCCGTCAGCCCTGTCCCCGCCGTCAGCCCCGTCCCTGCCCTCAGCACTGTCCTGCCTCCTGTTGGGAAGGTGAGTAGGGTTCTTCTTGTCTCCGCAGAATGACTGTGGAGGGAATGGCAGTGCCCAGGACACCTTCCATGTTGTCACTGAGAATGTCCCCTGCGGCACCACAGGGACCACCTGCTCCAAGGCCATCAAGATCTTCCTAGGGGTGAGTGAGGGGCCGGGACACCCCTGGGAGGCTCCAGGGAGTCCTAGGAAGGCCTCATGTTTCCCGCTGAGCCGTGATGGGCACTGTGTGGCTAGTAGGCCCTCCTGGGAGGTGGCCTGGGGTCCTCGCTGGGCTCTGAGTGACCCCTCCCTGTGCAGAGCTATGAGCTGAAGCTGAGTGACGGGCAAGTGAAGGTGATCGAAAAGGGTGCGGGGCAGGAGGCGCCGTACTCCATCCGCCAGGAGGGCCTCTACCTCGTGGTGGACACCGAGGCCGGCCTGGTGCTGATATGGGACAGGAAGACCAGCCTCTCCCTGAGACTCAGCCCCGAGTTCAAGGTGAGGCCCTGCCCCACCGCCGCTGTGGAGAGCAATGAGGCTGTGCTCAGGTGTCCTCTCCCCAGGGGAGGGACGGGGTCGGAGGGCAGGGGGCAGGGAAGGGGGCTCTGGCCCCTCCTGGGCTCGCTCTGAGCCTCGGACCCCTCCGTGCCCCAGGGCAGGGTCTGCGGGCTCTGCGGGAACTTCGACGACAACGCCGCCAACGACTTCACCACGCGGAGCCAGTCCGTGGTGGGCGACGCGCTGGAGTTTGGCAACAGCTGGAAGTTCTCCCCGTCCTGCCCGGACGCCCCGGCCCCCAGGGACCCCTGCACCGCCAACCCCTACCGCAGGTCCTGGGCCCAGAAGCAGTGCAGCGTCATCAACAGCCCCTCCTTCGCCGCCTGCCACGCCCACGTACGTGCCGCCTTCCCCCCGACCCTCGACCCTCGGGGAGAACTGGGCGGAAGTCGGGGGCCAGTGCCACCTTGCCGGGGAGTGGCCGCGCTTTAGGACCAGCCTATGGACATTAGGGTCAGTCTGGCCGGCCATGAGGGACAGGGCTTTGCTGTCCTCGACGTCTGGGGGCACCTGGCCAGGCCAACGCCACAGTGCAGGCCTGATCCCCCGAGAGCCCGCAGGGCAGAGTCCCCGGAATCTGAGGCCCTGCCCCACAGGTGGAGCCCGCCAAGTACTACGAGGCCTGCGTGAGCGACGCGTGCGCCTGCGACTCCGGCGGCGACTGCGAGTGCTTCTGCACGGCCGTGGCCGCCTACGCCCAGGCCTGCCGCGACGTGGGCGTGTGCGTGTCCTGGCGCACCCCGGACGTCTGCCGTGAGTCGGGCTCTGTCCGTGGTGCTGAAGGGCGAGGGGGGCGGCGGGAGCCGGCGGAGCCGCAGCGAGCCCTGGGCCCGACCCGCACACGTGTGCACAGCAGCCCCGCAACGTGCACGCGACACACGCGTGTGCGTGGACCTGTCCGTGAAAACCAGACGCACGGGGGGACCCCAAATGGGGGGACTCGGCGAAGGACGCGTGTTCTAATCCAGGGCTGAGAAACGAGCCTGGAGCGCGAGGGGCGGGCCCCTCAGATCCCTCCGCCCTGGGACGAGCGGCCCCGCCCCAGCACGTCCAGGGGACCAGGGGTCCGGCGGCGGCCTTAGCCTCTGTCGTCTACCCTCAGCCCTGTTCTGCGACTACTACAACCCTCAAGGGGAGTGCGAGTGGCACTACCAGCCCTGCGGGGCGCCCTGCCTGAGGACCTGCCGGAACCCCAGCGGCCGGTGTCCGCATGACACGCAAGGCCTGGAAGGTGGGCCACTGCCCTGCAGGCCTGGGGGTGGCTGTCCCAGGAGTCCGGGCTGGACTTTTCCTGGCCTCTCCGGGTGCCTTTGTGGGCACAGCCCCGTGCTCCCCGTGGCGCTGTGGGGGAGGCCCAGGGCTGGGGACTGTGGAGGCCGTGGGCGTGCAGGGGGGACTCACGCCTCTCTGGCCCGCAGGCTGCTACCCCAGGTGCCCACCAGAGGCTCCCACCTTCGATGAGGACCAGATGCGGTGCGTGGCCACATGCCCGCCACTGCCTTGCCAAGTCCAGGGCAAGTCATACCGGCCGGGCGCGGTGGTCCCCACGGACAGGAAC